ATAGATTAAGAAAACTTTTGTTGCACAACATTTTCTCGAGAACTGTTGTAAAGTGAAATCTTTGTTCGGTTTGTCTTTTTTTCAATTGAAAAAGAAATAAAAACCTTTCAAAGTTCATTTTTATTTGTCATTAGCCACATAATGTCTGGTTACGCTGTTGTAAATGTGCGGATACAAATTAGAAACATCAACTGTACAAAAAGGGCGTTGAAGATAAACAGAGTGGAAAAGAGATCAGCTAAACAGAAAAGACTTGTCACGTCGTGGTTAGGAAAAAGAAAAAGAGGCTGATATACAAATTCACAAACATCCATATGACATTAAGATGATAAATCTTTAAAGAATGTTGAATGATTGATATGCCATGAATATTGCACTGACAAAGATGGCGAGGGGTAAACAATGCAGGCAATATTGTCAAAATCAATAAAAGCTAACATAATAGTCTTGTCTTTGTGGAGACTAAGCACAATGTTTCAGAACATTATCGCTTCAGTTAACATTTATCACTTTCCTGGTCCCATTAAAAAGAAATCTATATTTATCATGGTTCCATGCAAGGCCTTTATTTCTGATGTATTCATCACTTCACAGGAATTTCCAAACCAAGCCTTGACTCGTTTCCGCAGCGACGATCTGTTTGCTGTGTTTGTCGCAGTAAATGAGACAAACGAGAGATTATTGAATTAACTTCACATTCGAGGAGGTTGGTGATCAAAGAAGACGCTCTGACAGATATTAAAAACGAAAACACACAGGCCAGACATTTTGTATTTACAAAACAAACTGGGAAACTTTAAAAGGTTGCATAAGAGAACAACACATGACTGGATATGCCGGAGAAGTGGAAATGTAAAAAAGCTGTCTCATGACAGATATATTATTATTTGTATTTTCACTGTTTACCTTGTTTCAAAGACTGTGTTTCTGCATTTGATAGAAAACCTCAAACTCTTCCTTTACTGTACACACACTGTATTTTTAAGAGGCTAGCACCCTCTGTTGAGCAAAGAAGGAATTGCTGTTTTAAACTTGTGGGCAGATTGTCTCATTCAGCCTCTGATGTCAGACACAAGCGTTTTTACGACAAATAAAGTTGAATAATGTCGAATCAACACCTTGATTCACAGAATACAGCTGTGTCCATAATTATCTTTCACAAAACATCTTACATCTTAAGTTTCCTGTGATTGGTACATGCATTAGTTATCAAGATCGGTAAATCATGCACCACCGTTGAACTAGAAACATTGTCTTGTGTGCGCGTGCGAGCACAGTGAAGAGTGAGCACACATCTCGTATTAGAAATTTGAAGACACATTTGAGATGAAAAAAGTTTTGAAATTCATCTAAAGCAGCACGTAGACGAGCTCAGCGACTCCGCTGTCTGCTCATGTACGGCACATTCAGCACTAATGCACCTAACGAACATAAATTGAAAATTAAAAATTCACTCTTAAACCTAGAGTTGAATATTTATTAGCAGTGTTGTCTAAGATTTGACTCGTCCCTCACCCTGGTCCCTTCAAAATCTTTTTTCTTCACATCTCCACAATTTGAATGCGACCACAATGCATTCCTCAAATGTGAAGTCTTCTTTTTCTTCATAAATTTAAGTGCTTACCCCTTCAAGCTCTTGCCACCGTTTAGTGTTTTTCAGTAGCAACAGATTCTAGAGATTTGTCGGTGCCCGGCAGAGCCGTAAACCTGCCTCTCATCTCTGGATCATACACATCAGAAATGATCTCTTACACAATCCACCTGATGATGACGACGCAGTCCAGAGACATCACTCAGGATGAAATACGATTAAAAAGTAGGTGGCGGTCTTTTCTTGTCCTTTACGTCCAGATCTCAGTTGGGACCATGGCCTCCTTTGTCCCTACAGAGGGCATGAGGTTGTGCTCGGACAGGAAGTCCAGAGGAAACTGGACCAAGAAGCCGCGGATTTTGCGCAGTTCCTCGTGAGCGCGGGCCGTGTCGGTCTGGGCCAAGCCCGGTTTGGACTGGAACTGCTCCAGCTCGGACATGTTCCTCACCAGGGACGAAGGGAGGCAGCGAAACACCTGCAGCGAAACACACACGTCTGAACTGCAAACACACTGCTGCCTTTGACTGAAGCCCATTACTTGACATATATCATCAACTATTGGGTGAACTTCCAAGATATTTGAATGAAATACCCACGTGCCCATTTGTTACGCTGAAAGATTTAACCTCATCCATCCTTCAGTCAGTATGTTGTTGTTTTTTTGTATGATTTTTAGATGCGATAGAATGAAGTCTTGTCTTTTATACGTGTGGATGAATTTTAAGTTCAATTAGTTCAAGTTACGTATTTTGAATTGAATTGAACGTGAACTTGTTAAATGCGTCAAGCAGAGGAGATGGGGAGGAAACCGCATTCTGTAAATTTAATTGTCAAAGTAAAATGAGGGTTCAGCAGTTGCATTTATTAAAATCAAATGGGTAAACATACGTCTTCATATATACTCTCTGTCCATTTCATATACCCTTAGTGGAGATTCCCTTTTGATTTGTGAAATAGTGAACCTCTGACTGAGCCTGAGCCTAACTGAGACTTTAGTTCAGCTTTCATCAATCTAAGCTGAACTTTATCTGAGCCATCGCGTCCAACCCACCTTCTCATAAATGGTGTCATTACGGCCGGCTGTGGTCATCCACACCTCCTTGTAGAAGCGATCGCTGATGGGGTCAGACAGGTCAATGCTGGTGTCGCTGTGACCTCCGAGGATGGTCCTGGTTAGAGAGAAGGAGAAAGACGGAGACACAGAAAGGGGGAGGATACAATGACAATCACCAGGTTTTTAAAATGTAAGAAGTTTGTAAAGTGCTTTTCTTTTTCAAACACACACCTGAAGCATTCCAGGCGTAGCTGGAGTGCGTAGGGTCCAGCTTCATACTCCTGTCCATCCATCACAGACGCCACCTTTTCAGAGTCCTCGACAATCACCGCCACCTCACTGTCACGTTTACCCAGCATGCTCCTGTCGTTGATGTTAGCAGAACCTGAAACAAACACAAAAAATACAGAGTCTCCGCATTTATCCGACTTGCTGTTGGTGTCACGTCTTTATCAAGTCGTGAATAACACCATACTAAATAATTGAAAAGAGAGGCTACCGGAGAACACACACACACACACACACACACACACACACACACACACACACACACCTCTTCTATCTTTGGCATATAAACAAAAGCCTTTTGTGGAATTCTACAACAGTGATCTGCACCTTATTAGCCAGCAGGTGGCGTAACCGAGCTACATGCCACTCTCTTTACCACACATATTAAAGTCGTTCTTCAGTCGCACACGTGGTGACAGAAAGAGAAAAAGAGCCAGATTTTTGGCTCCGTCACATTTCGCTGGTGTCAAGTGTGCGAGTATAGTTGCCTGAAATAAGCATTGATGAAAACAGCGCAAGAAAAAAACAAAAGGAGGTGATAACGCAGATGAGAGACGGACGAACCGATGATGACTGTGTTGTCGTCTGCGATGAGCATCTTGCTGTGGATGTAGATGAGCTCTGTGACCAGGCGTCCCTCCAGCTCAGCGTGAGTCCGCAGCCCGGCGAAGGAGATGTAGTTCATCCACTGGTCATCCACTGGGAGAGGAGGAAATCAGGGGGATATCATTACACTTCCAAATCCAACCCCATCATCAGGTGTCAAAAAGTGAAGATTATAATTAATTCTTGTACTGACTCTCTTTCTTCAGCTGCGATATGATGGAGAACTCTCCTCTGATCATGGTTCTGAGGAGACAGGAGATTTAAACCAATCACAAAGTTTAGAAATCTCTTAAAAGTGAATCAGGATTTAAAATAAATGAACTGCAGCAGACTTCTAATGATACTTCCAATAATGATACTCTTTTCTCATTTCCCTTTGCTCTTCCTCTCTCTACAAAGCACACGTGGTTTCACCTGTAGTTGAAGTGCATGACAGCCTGGAGGGCGTTCCCTCCTCCCGTGGTGATGTCCCCCTCAAAACCAGGAAGCAGCGGCGTGACCACGTAGACGCGGTACTTCTTACCCTCCCTGAGTTAAGACACACACGTTCAGTGCTGTTGCGTGACGCAGCATCATCACAGGTAATCAAACACAGGTTGAAACGGGGGAGGGGGGGGGTAAGTACTTGTGCGCCCTGATGATCCTCTCAATGATGGCGTCTCCAATCTTGTTGTACACCATTCTGTTGTCGGCGCAGCTGATGAAGAACTGGTTCTGAAAGGAGAGGACAATAATTCTGTCACTAAGTAATGAAGCTGTTTTTATTCCACAATGAAAATAAATACAGACGACGAAGTCGCTCTTAATGGCGCGTCACTGGTGTTATCTGCAGGAAGCAGCCTAATACCATCATCAGTGTTTCAGCAGTGCTGCCAAATGACCCAGACGGAAACAACTCTTTCCCACCAAACAGAAAAAATTAAATACACGTCTCAAAAGCATCAGAATGTCGTGTAGTTTCGCATCCTGGCCACAAAGCTGCTTTACCTCTATGTAGATGTAGTGTTTGCTCTTGGCGATGACCTGGATGTAGGCGTTGTGGATGGACTCCTCGTGGTACTTTATGCCTGCCGACCAGTCTGCTGCTGAGCGCAACACCTTATGTATACAGACAGAGGATTATTAGAGCAGGAGACAGAATTTTGCATCTCTTTGAAACAGAGTAAGAACTAACTGAGGCGTATCGTGAACAAGACCCCTGAAGTTGCTGCAGACCAACATATCCAGCCTAGCAGGGTTTTCATTCAGGAAAACCTTGTAAGTACTGGCATGCATTTGAATTTATTCTAAATGCAAACAGTGTTTCTTGGATAGTCGTAGCTTCAATGTTTTATGTATTTTCTGGAGCCTGGAGAATTAGCCTCTGTTGGCAATGGCCAATATTCCAATACTCCATCTTCTGTTAGCAGTACACTCTTTACAGTTCAACTAGTTCACAAAAACCAAACATTTCTCCACACAGAACACAAACACTCATACTTTCTGTAGGTTTTTAAGGTCCAATTTTGGCTCAGTTGTTTTCCCGACTATTTCCTTATGAACGCAGATAAAATAAAAAGCTGTTTACCTGCGAGCAATCAAACGATCAAGAATCGTGTCTCTAATCAATAGATCCTGCAAATTCACATAAAGAATCTGTTTATAGAGATTCTATATTATGTAGAAGGATATAAATCATATATAAAATTAGATACAGTAAAGTTACAGCGCGTGTTTTTTCTTTAAAAAAGCGTTTCTTAAGGTGTAGTTTCAAAGAAACAGATAAGTTGTCCAAATAAGTGACACAGAGGGAGAGAAAAACACTCTCTCATGAACACAATGGACCCATTACTGAAGGCATCTGCATGCGCTTCTTATTTTAGTCAAACATCTCACTCGAGGGTCAGTTCCTCTCAGCTAAGAAACCTTCAAAGTCAATGGCGAGAGCAAATCTTTGGAGTTATGTAAGTTTTTGGCCCGTGGAGAGGCCTTCAACGCTCGCTCTCTCTTATCTCGCTCCAGCAGTGCCAGCTGACTGGGATGCAGAGGGCAGAGTGGGAAAGTGGGAGTTTATGGGAGCTCGATGTGCTCTCGTCTTTTCTCTGTAATTTTCTACCAGTGGGTTTTTTCTGGGGTTTGGTCCATGGTTGGCTTTTAGGTCCCAGTTTGTCATTTTGTGTAATTTAAAAGGGAAGAAAACACCATATTTTTTTTTATCGTGTGGGTGCATGTGTGTACTTGGCATGTCCGCTTACTTGTACTTTGGCATTGGTGCAGTCAGGGACTTGGTATCTGAGCTCGTTGGCACTGGAGTGGGACTTGGGCAGTAGGAATGGATAAGACAGAGAGCGATACTTTGGCTTCATGATCTGTAGGAGGGACAGTTGGAGAATTTCAGCACAGAGAGGGTAAATATAGAGGCGGTTTGAGGAGAAGTGAAAAAGCAGGGAGGGAAGTTGGTGCCATGGAAAACAAGAGAGTGAATACTTGAGTCTTTTTTTCCACTGATCCAGCCAAACATGTGCAATGATGTAGCCAGTTTAGCGTTTCCCTTCAATTTCACATTGGTCTCCTCACTTTTCCTGTAATTACAACCCTGAACTTGCAATGCTGTAAAAAAAAAAAAAATCAAATAACCTTAACAAGTCGACAGAACTTCAGCTGGTTAAACAAGTTCAGCTTTAAATCCTGCTCTACATCCCTGTGTGTGTTTGCTGAGATGCATAGTGTGTGTGTGGGTGTTCAAGTGCCTTAGTGAAGTTCCAGCGTTGAATGAAGTGTCTGGCCGCATCCCGGGCGGCTCTGCCATGAACCACCGAGGCGATGTCATGCCAAGGCATTCTGGGAGTGGTGTATCTGTCGATGAAGTCTGCGCAGAGGGGAGGAGAGGCAAAAAAAAGAAGATATGGTGGAAATGGGGGAAGACATGAGAAAAGAAGGATAAAAAGATCTGTTTCATATGCTACTCAGGTCTACTCCAGATTTCATCACATTTGTATGTCAGAGAGGAAAACTCATAAGAATAAGACTTAGTACGGGAATGTGAACGGAAAGGAATTTGAACCTGGCAAGAGAAGGAGCTTTTCAGAGTAAGACCTAAATAATGAAGTGTGTGTGTGCACGTGTGTGTGTGTGTGTGTGTCTGTGTGTGATCAGACCATCAAAAGGTTTCTCCAGCTGGATCCAGTCCTTGTAGACAAAGTTGCAGTAGTCTTTTCCGTGCCAGAAGCGAGTGTTGCCTTGTAGTTCTCCGACACCTGTCTTCAGGCTTTGCACTGAACCACTCCCTACACACACACACACACACACACACACACACACACACACACACACAGAATAAAAACATGATGGTAAAAGAGCTGCAGTCACATTATAGTGCTTTTATTCTGAAGATCTTTACAATGTGCCTCTGATTCATCCATTCTCACCCACACCAACACAACAATGTCACAGCGGAGGTAGTAGAGGGTGTTTTTGCCAAATCTGAGGAGCTTCAAGTTTCCTTGCAGCGCTCACTCACTCACTCACTCACTCACTCACTCACGCTCTGCTTCTTCCACATTCTTTTCTCTTTCATGCGAACATACCAGCACTGTCCACGCTGCTGACGCTGTCTGCCTGCTGCAGGGTGTGTTTATGCAGGTGCCTGTACAGACTGAAGCGAGACCGCCGGCTGCGGCCAATCCCCTTCAGCTTGGGCAATTCCACCGGGTCACCGGGCAGCGTCCCTTGTCCATTGCGCTGCGAGACGCCGTCGACAGCGGACACACCCTTACTGGAAGAAGTGTTGGTGGATCCAGCCTGTGGCCATGGAGAAAACAGAGGTATAGGTTACATAGTGCAGGTTAATATGGTTAATAAAGACAGGTTAAAGTCACAATTCAACATCTATTCCCTTGGGACTAAACCAAACTTGCTGTATTTTGCATCCCGCAAACGTTTGGATGGCAAATCTTTTGTTTGATTAAGGCTAAATGAATAAAGATCAGTGGTGTGGGATGAAACTGATTTCTCCATTTCCATATCTGAATCTTTTGTGTGGAGGTAAATTTATAGATCCACAGAGTGAACAGGCAGTTTTACCTTGTTGTGTGTATTCGTGTGTCTAACCTGCTCCAGGGCCACAGAACGCGTCACACTGCCGACGTCCGTCAGACGGTGCTCTCTGTCGTCCCAGCGACCGTACGCCAGGTCAATCCCGCCCACGAAAGCCACCGATTGGTCAATGACAATGATCTTCTCGTGATGCGCCCACAGGTAGACGGAGGAGGAGACGTGGTCGGGATGACGCATCACCTGGACACAGCACACATGCATTTACACATCAAGACAAAATAAACTCATTGACTCATTACAAAAGAAACTTCTTCCATTCTCACCTTGATGTTGGGGTGCAGGTGCAGGAGCGTCCTCTTGCTGTAGCCTGAGTTGATGCCCAGGGCGACCTCCACCTCCTTGTACAACATCACGAAGATGCGCACTCCCTGTTGCTGTTGGCAAGATATTCATATATTATAATTTATGAACACTCATATATTAGCATTAGTGAAAGTAATAAGATATTTTACTAGAGTAAAAGAAGCAATAGAAACGATATATATGAAACTAAGAGAAAAACTAGCATCAAAATAAGGGACTATGGCATAATTACCACTATCAGTCATATATTTCAATAACACATTATATTTTAACATGCACTGAGAGCAGAATTTGAAAATTGCAGTTGGTTTTGGTATAATTTGAATCTAGTCTAATGTCAACTACCTTCTATACTTTGGGGTTGGGCAGTAAATCCTTATGAATCTATCATGGGACTGAAAGTGTTCTGTGTGAATTTTAATTTGCAAAGCAACAAGTAGTTGTCACAAGCCCACAGCGTAGGCTGGTTAAATCACTCACTGCTTTGCGTTTGAGGATACAGTCCAGTCTCCACCTGTTGCCCTCCACCACAGGTCTCTTCAAGAAGATCTCTGGACTCAGCCTGAGCAAGAGTGAGCGACGGACACAAGGAAAGACGGAGGTGAACAGACTGAGAGAAATGACTCATTACTTCAAACAAAACAAAAACCATTTTATGGCAAACGTCGAGTTTTCTACACTTTCCATATGACTGACGTGACATAATGATATAGTCTCATGAGTCGCTCACATTGGCATCCCGAGCTTACATGTCTGCAGTGCCACTGGCTCACATTACACAGGCCGTCATTGGTTAAGACCTTAAGCTCAGCGATTACTGCTTAGGAACAGAGGGATTTCAGCCACGTCAAACATTTGAAATTACAATGGCCACAATGTAATTGTGCCAGTGGAGCCAAGTACAGGGTTTATTTCTAATTAGAAAAGTTAAATACAAGACACATAAAATATGTTTTAGATCAAATACAGGCAAGGGAATGTCAATTCACTATGTGAGTTGATATTACATTAGATTTACATGTTGTGTGTTGAAACAATATTTCTCAGGGTACCCTCATGGTATAATCAACTATTATAAACATGTGTAAACACCATTTAACAAGATTTTACATGAGAACATTTGGATTTTTTTCATTGTTTTGAAATTTGTGCTTCCTTATTTCCACACTTCAGCTCATCTTACGGGCTGAATAAGAATTTCTCAGATGGCGAACATGACTCCTTGCGAGTAAAATGAAAAACAACGGGCAGTCCAGTAGAGACAGAGCGAGACAAAGGAGATGTTGTGCGAGCGTAAACAGATATGGAGGCTGTGTCTTTCTGTCACTGCGTTTCTATTCTCAGTGTGTGGATGAGGCTGTAATTAGAGCCCGGACCATCGCAGAGCCGTGCAGAGAGCCAGGACTTGTGGGTAATACATAATGTAATGTGTAACAGCATGTGCTACACTAACTGGGTGTCAGTGTCAACTTATCAGCTTGTTCTTTGGAGCAAAGTCTGATGATGTTACCAAACTACTGAAATAAACCAATACAACTGTGTTAATTCATGTTTATCTGTTGCATGATACTATTCTTAAAGCATTATCTGTATATTTTGTTTTTGCAGATTGTTTTTTGTGCAAATTACATAAAAACATGTGTGATGACAGACTTTTGTTGAGCAGATGTGTCATTTGACGTAAACCTCACCCTGCCCTGTGAGGAATCGTTTTCTTGGGGACTTTTTTCTATTTTTATTTCAAGTATTGACAGCAGAGCGATTTGGAAATAGGAGGAAATAGAAAGTGGTTGCGAAATTGAATCAAAGGTTCCAGGCCATAACTGAACTGTGAACGACGTGATTACATGGTAACTGGTGAATTGACTGCGTTTATAAAGTGCTCTTCTAGTCCACTCAAGGCACTTTACTGTCACACTCACTCATTCCAGCCTGCACACAGCGCTACTATAAATAGTGTCATCATACATCTCATTCTCACACCGCGGAGACAGACATCAGCTGGAAGCACCTTATATCACTGGGCAGTGATACACGGCTTCTTTATCAAACAGATGATTCACGTTCCTATGTTTGTACTGTGCAGCGTTCCTGAGGAGTTGTTGACATCTCTTGCTTTATGAACCGTTTTTTTTATTGGGTTCCTGTTTTGTCTGTTTGTCTCATACTTGCACACAGAGGTGACGTTGGAAGCGATCTAGCCAGTAGTTTTATATGATTCCAACTACAAGTGCAGCTAGATCACATAGATCACATCATGCCAGATCCATGATTTATTTTTTAAGAAATCAAGGAATTGGATAAACGCCACATCTCATAATGTTAAAGAAAGGGGGTAAATCAAATCTTGGATCTGTCCCCTGATCCGGATTTGCACCAAAATGTTCTGGATTCCTCTCTGACCTGTATCACATCCTCCCACCAAGTTGTGTGGTGCTCCGTCAAGCAGTTTATTCCTAATCCTACAAACTAACAGACAGACTGACAAGATGAAAACATAACCTCTGTGGTGGAAGTCAAAGTAAAACTGTCTTTGTGTGTGTTTTATGAGAAAGGTTATATATTCTAATAAAAACATAACCTTTATTTTCTTTAAGAAGTAGACTTCATATGGCAACTCAGGTTTTCTGGTATCGCAAAGCTGGCTCATTTTTAAGCAAGGTAGGTCCCCATGGTAACCTATGCTGCACAGATAACCTACGTTCAGAGAATCAAATCAAAACATCAACGTCCCAAAGAGTCAGTCAGGAAGTTACAGTAAAGGGAGATTCAAGAGAGTTTGAACTTCATGTCACATTCTTTCCTCTTTGAAAGAAGTTGGGGCCTCACTGAGCCGTTTTCTCTTTTTCCCTCTTGTCTGTGTTCTCACGCCTCAGTGCTGATGCTCCACACGAAACCCTCGACATCATGCATGTGCACACAAAACACAGAACACACACTGGAACTCACCACCAGTCAGTGATAAAGATTTCCTCTTTAGCCTCTTCCAAAGCGTCAGCCACGTCCTCCATGTACGTCTTTCCATTCACGTACCTGCAATAAAATGTAACAATGACCCAGAGTGTGTGTTGACACATGCACAAATGTAAACACACATAGAGGGTTGGTTTCTATATTCATTCAAGAACGTGGTCTTTCAGTTTCAGAGCAGGACAAAAACCCTCGCTCGCACTCTAACAGCCCCAGCTTGTGCTTGGATTTGCTGTTTGTGCTCAGACTGAAATATTTTGATGTTTAATAGCTTGACAGATTTCCTGTGCTCCTGCTTCAGTTTTTCTCCTCGCACTCACGCTCTTGGACTCTTTTTTTTGCAATAATTCCCCAACCGACAGAATGCCAGGTGTAGTTGTGGGTGTGTTACCTTTACTTCTTTGAGAGGGACTCTCTGAGTGTAAGCACAGTTTGAGCATATGTACAAGCAGGTACTATTTGAGTGTGAGCGCGGGGTTTTGGAGTGAAAGAAAATCTTAACGTGTTTTTAATAAGTCCTGCTCTCAAACGGAAAGTAAAAAAACGCACAGCGTATCTCTTTCTAGATTACACAGCAAACTACTTCTGCTGTTTCAGAGCTCACTGTTCATAGATTCAGTCAAAAAATACCACAAGACTTGTTTGTACTCAGTTTGATGACATTCCCAACCTTGTAACACTCTCACAGGCTTCAAGCTACTGCCCACAACAGTGTCATCGTGACATAACTGTTGTTTAGACACAAATGGCTTTTTCCATGAGTACTAAGACGACGTAATGACATTATCACACCGATGATTCAATATCGCAGAATCTGCCAGCTGAGGGGGAGAGAACGCAAAAAAACCTGAAACCTGGCAAAACAGGCAACAGAGAATTGACTGCTCAGAGCTCTATGATACATTTCCATAGTTACCAGTGAACGACTAACAGGGGAAGGCAGATAAAAATAAGACGTGTTGAAAATCTTTCTTTTTGAACTTTTCTCCAGTGTGCTGCTTTCTTGTAGGATTGCATCTGTTTTTCTGATCACGAACCAGCTCCACTAGTCGTGAGGCTGTAGTTACCATTTGGCTGGGATGTTTTCCTCTTCCTGGGCAAATGACCCGAAGCGGTGATCCCGCAGGAAAGCCTTCCCGTGACTCCTCACGAAGCTCTCGATGCTCTGACCCCACCAGCGGGCGTGTCTGTAGCTGATGCACTTGAACACGAGCGTCCTGCAGGGAGGGCGTGCACAGATACATACGCAGTGAAATAAACATACGCACACCTGTACACACACACACACACACACAAACTGATACAGGTGAAAACAATAACTTTTTTCTGATGTGATGATGATTTGATGCATTTTTCTTTTTCAAAAGTGTGTTTTTATGTATAGTCAGGAGAAGATGTGGTGATCAGGAGGAAGGAGTATCTCCCTGCACCCGGTTCTAGGGTTGTATTAAAACGGAAGATAAATGATCATGAGTTTAAACTATGAATAAGTGATCCTCAAGTGATGATGTTTTTTCTCTGTTGTTTTTTTCTTCTGGACTTTCATTCATTTATTTATGAGCTGTGCCGAGAGATCCAGTATCCTGAAAACAATAATACATGTACGCCACATACCGACCCCTTCAAAAACTAATTCAAAGTTCATTTAAATAAATAAATAATCCTCTGATTAAGAGTGTTCAAAAGGAAATGAGTTAACCCCTTAACAGCAGATCATCTGGTTTTGGTACCAGTGATTAAAATTTAAAGAGCAGGCGTTTCAAAAAACCAACAGGGACAAGTTGAGGCACCTGCTTCACTGGAAGTCCAGAATCAACAAACCTAAAGTTAAGTCAGTAAATTTTCTCCATCCCTCATATTAATGAAATGATCTTCGACTACAGGTAAACCACACAAATAGGTTCATGGCTGTTGTTGGAGGTTGTAGGAAAGTCATTCTCTTAAATAGTAAAATCAGTCAGTTATAGTAATAATATTAAAATCTGTGTGTGAGAGCTGAATGAAGAAGACTGAAGAAAAATGTACCGCCTCTTTGGATTAACAGACCTTATCAAACAGAGTCTAAAGGAAGATTTTCCTACACACACACACACACACACACACACACAGACAGAGAAAAGACATATAACCTGGAGAGACTATCAATCCGGACTCCATGTTTGGTCTCTGTGTCTTTGGAGTCCATCTTGATGCTGAACTCTTTATCCACCAGCATGACGAAGGAGATTGCCCCTGAGTCTGGCTTCATGTACAGCAAACATGAGTCCTTCACCACCAGCCAGCTGCACAACACACACAGACACACACAGACACACACAGTTGTCATTGTTATCATGATGACTGCTTGTCATCAGGATTTATGATTCGTTTATCTGCAGCATTCTCCGGATCTCCGACTGTTTCTTACCTTTCTTGTTTAAAGGAACAGTGTAGGAAGAAAACTATCATGGGGATGTAGGTGGATGGGCCGAGCATTTCAAACATGTGGGATCTTTTTTTTTGTGTATTTTCTTTAGAAAATAACAAATGAAGAGAGAGATGAGAGTGTGCACATACAGCTGGGTTGAAGGTGCTTGGTTTATGGATGAGAGTTTTAAGTGAGCAAACAACAAATGGATAAAAAGTCGTATGACGGCCAAAAACACTATTGTCTTATACTTAGAATATTTATAATATGTTTGAAAGTGCAATGAACGGCGGCTGTGTTTTCACACCTACACCCTGACAGTTTCCTGCCAGAAATTTGAGCCTGGAATGATTCTTTTCTTTTGTGCACAACATCCATCACACCTACATTTTTGACAAGTGTGCCAGTTAAAATAACACATTTCTTTGTATTGAAAGAATTGAGATTTAAACCCACAATATTTTCATTGTCGTCTACTTGCATGATTACAAAATCAAAACGAGTGGCTGCAGCAAAAAAAATCATGATTCAATTAAATTCAAAATCCTTTGTTCATCCCTCAAGTGGCAATTCGATCATAGTGAGTATGTGTGTATGTGGTGAAACAAACAGGTGCTAAATAAATAGGAGGTTGAATATAAGGCCCTGTGCACACTTGGTATTAACATCCGTCCTGAGGGACGTGATCACAAGTGGCCAGCGCTGAGTACATGTGTTCACGCCTGGCATTAAAATACGTCCTGAATGTGATCAGATCTCACTTACCTGCTCTGTAAGCAAATGCAAATAAATACCTACGGTATGTCATCTGTGTAAGTACAACGTATAAGGACAAGGACAAAGATAGAGGAAGTGAAAGACAGGTAGCCACACACCGTTTGGACCAACGGTAGCAGGCTTGGCTGTGACCACAGCAGTTCATGCCAGGGATACGATGTCCGCCTGAACGCTTATAGATCATCCCTTCTCTGGAGGAGATAGAAAATAAAATGGTCAAATATCTGAATTAACACATTTCAAGAAAAGTATCTCAGGAGGCTGATTTTCATCCTAATTCTCTAGATTTCAGCTCAAGTGCTTCGCTCTATTGTGATTTAGTGTTTGTCGTCCTGACTGAAGACTGATGGAGCGGTTGTTAGAACTGAGGGGACTGAAGGAGGAGAGAATGCTCACAGTCCTTTGGGTCCCAGGTCGTGAATGAAAGACAGCTGGCTGATGTCAATGAACTCCATCTGAGAAAAGACAGGAAGAGACAAAAAGAGGCTTCATACACTGACTCTCATATGTCGAGGTATACACACAACATCCACCTGGAGGCGACGTGACTCATCTGAAATGATCTCAGCGTGGATATTAAGTTTTAATGATGCACAATATTGATATCTCAGCACATGATGGGAACAATGAGGCAGTTATATTGTAACAGTAATGATTGTTTCTATTTTCAGGTTCATTCAACCACAAGGGTAAAGTAAGTTAGAGTAAATAACGATAACATTTAGGACACTAAAGCTTAGGATGTGTTTTAATATAACATGGATCTGATAACAGAGTCACCTGGCTTTGTTCAGGGGCGCTGCTACAGGGTAAGCAAAGCAGGAAGAGCTGAGCCACCAACGATGGCTGTATCAACTCTGAATACCATGAGCATGTGTGTATGCACAGTCTGCACTTTGTTTTTAAGTTTTTAAATTGATAAAGAAGATTTTTGTTCATTGGAATGATGTGGTTTGGTATCATGGGCTGGTGTAAAGTACCGTCCGGCAAGTGTTGTGTCACATTTAAATTAAAATGAAGCGACTAAAATAAGACAATTCGTCATATGTTTCTCACTGATCTGTTTTTATCCAGGATGTTCAAATTGGGCTGGAGGGTTGTTTCCACATGGTTATAATATACTTAAATTCTTTGAGTGTGTTAACATAAAGCAGACACCGTGCTATGGGTAAACACATGAGTAGTTGGGTCAACACTCAAGGTTCCACCACATTGTGCAGAGTGAAATGGAGAAAACCATAAATCATGATGAATATGATTTACTGTAAAAGTCCCTTTCTGGTATTTATAGTAGACAATATGACACAATTGGCTCATAACTAGAGAAACCTAAAACATAAATAAAATGAGTATAACCTTGATGATGAGGTTATGTTCATGTATGACAGCTTGCAGTGCTTAGTATGATTACTCACAGTATGGTGATATTTGCGGTACATGGCCATCCTCAGCAGCTTGTTCAAATAGTCTTCTAACTGTCTCTGTAGGAACACACACACTCTGTTTTGGCCACTGTGAGTATTTTTATGAAAACATCCATGCATATAAACACTGACACCTTACACACACACACACACACACACA